TCTGTTAAGCCAAATAAATAAATCAATCTTTGGATGAAAATTTTTTTTCCTCCTTTCCCTTTCTCTCTCTTTCTCTCTGAATCGATCTGAATCCCTCACCTCTGACCCTCAGCTCTCTCCACCTGTCTTTTATTTTCCGTTTATGCTTCCAGATCGGGAGGGGGAGGAGGCGGGGTGGGCAGAGGGCGCAGACGCGGGCTGGTGCCCGAGACGCGCTCCGAGCTGCGTCCAGCCCTGGCAGCCGCTCGGTAATCGGGGGAGGTGTTAATGGAGGACTCGCCGGTAACTGAACCTCGTAAAGCCCGGAGCATCCAGGAGCGTCGGCGCGGCGGGGGTTGGAGTCCCGCAGCGCGCCCTGGGCTCCCGGCCCCCAGCCAGCCTTTGCCGCCTTGCAGCTCGTACCTAAAAGATGCCGCCGCCAGCTGGTGCCTGCATAGACGGTGAATGGGCGGCAGCTCCTGCGGGAAACTGGGTTGAGCCATTGATTGTTCCCCCGCCGCGTCCCCGCCTCCCCTCCCGGTCCCTCCTCCACTCGCCGCGCTCCCGGCCCGGCCGGGCGTCGGGACCCGAGCGCTTTGGGGAGTGTCCTCCGCTCCGGGTCGGCGTTGGTGGCGGGGTCAGGGAGGGGGCTGGGGGCATCTTTCCCGCCTCGGCTCCAGCTGGGGGCTGGGGGTGGTTATTAAGCTTCCGAGAGAGACCCGCACTCAAACCCCGGTGGACGGCGTCCGCGGCGACGCGGCCAGACCCGGGACAGGGCGGGGGCCGTATTACCTGGTCTCAGGTCCCCGAGGGGCTGCGTCGCCCCCGGCGCAGTGAGGCAGCCGGAAAGCGGAGCGACAACCGGGAAGCCGGCCTCCGGCCAATTATTTACCCACTCCCCCGCCCGGTGCGCCCCTCGCAGTCGGAGATGGGGAGGCGGGGGACGCGGCGAGGTTTCCGCGCCAGTGGGGAGGGGGTGTGAGCAGCGAGATTGGCCGCTCCGAGACGCAGGTCTGGGCAATGGTGCCGCCCTCCCTACCCGCCCCTTCCTCTGAGCCACCGCCGCTCCTCGCGGTGCGCGGGCCCGGGGCGCGGGGCGGGGGCGCCCGCTGGCCTCCCCGCTGCCTGCGGGAGCCGCGCGGGGTTGGGGCCGCGCCGTGCGGGGTGGACGCCGCTTCCTTGCTCTCCCGCAAGCTCCCGATGCAGTTCAGGTCGGTGGGGAACAGGCCAGGAGCTGCGGGTCCAAGCCCCCTGGCTCTCTCTTTCCATCCCATATCCCAGAATGTCATGCAGAGCACCCCGGACAGAGTCCCTCTTTCCACCCAGACACTTGGCTTCACTAACTAGCCTCGCCAGCCAGTTAGTCCTACCGGTTTACCTTCTAAAGTCCCCCGCGCGCCCCACCCCTGACTTTCTCCTTCCCGTCCCGACCTCCTTCGCTCTTTCTTGGAGAACCCCCCCATCTCGGCCGGATTTCGCAGCCAGGAGGAGAGAATCGCCCCCTGCCGCCCCCCCCACCCCGGGCTCTGACAGCCCCCGAAAACGCTTGGGTGCTCTCCACCCACCCCTGTCCAAAGCGACGGTTTTTAACCTATTTGGGCTCACATGCCGTTTTAGGTATTTGGTAACGACATGCGTTCTACACACACACACACACACACACACACACACACGCACACACACACATGCAGGCGCGCACACACACACGCACGCACACACGTGCATACACATGCAGGCGCATGCACACACGCGCGCGCGCACACGCACACACGCGCGCGCACACGCGCGCGCACACACACGCACGCAGGCGCGCGCGCAGCGAAGCTCACAGTTTAGGACACACATGTCTGGTGGGAGGAGGAGGCCGTCACGGACCTCCCGGTACCCCTGGTGGAGTCCGTGATTCCCGGGTTCACCTCTCTTTTACGCCCGCAGTTCCAGGAAGGGGGACAGTGAGTCTGGACTTTCTGTGTCGTGAACCCAACCTCAAAACCGTCAGTGGAGACGAAGGCCACCCCAGCCCCGGAGACGCCCCCCAAACATCGGGGCGCCCCGAAGTCGAAGTCGGGGTAGCGGACGCTCCAGGGACGACCCGATCTCCGCCTGCGGACGGCTGCGAGTTCTTCCGCGTTTTCTCAGAACTGGGGCTCTGCACAGGGGCGCGCAAGAGGGCACGGACCGTCACCCCAACACACACACATATTTAAATATCTGACGGCCTTTCTTTCTTTTCTGTGGGAAGGGGAAAGTTTTGGCATCCAGGAGTACCTTTTTTAATTATTGAAAAAACCGCAGCGAGTGTTAAATCCTCCAACAAGGACAGAAATCCAGCCCACCCACCCAAGGCGTTGGTCGAATGGAGAGAAGACGCAACGGCAGGTGTTGGCAAGGAGTGGAGGGGAGGTTCCTTTCTTGCTGGCCAGGGGCTGTGTGATCTTAAAGTGCTCGTAGGAAGGCAACATGCCAACCGGCAGTCGTCTCGTGGTGAGCTTCCTTCCCCAGGCTTGCCTGGAGATCACACCGAGACCCGCAGGTTCAGGGCGGCGGAACCGCGCGCGGAACAGACTCTGCGGTGCCTCTGCCGAAGGAACGGCGCCGTGCTGGAACAAAGACCCTCCCGCACCAGGTCCCGAGAGCGCCTCCCTTCTCAGGGCCCCATCTGTCCCAAACGTACCCTCTTAGGGAGCCTTAAATTCTTCCTGGGAAAATAAAAGCCCCTCTCTTCCTCGCTCCACATAATCCGTGGGTTCCGCAGAGAGAGAGGGGGGCGTGTGCGTCCTGATCCACCTGCCGCGAGGACCGCCGAGGTCAGGGCCCTGCCCGGGCCGTGGGAAGAACCATCGCTGCGGGGCTCTGTCTTCGCCCGCAACCCTAGCAACCTCCGCCACAAGATCCCTCGGCTTCCTTTGAGTTGCGTTCCACGTGCGAAACAACCTAGAAATCCATCGCCTTTGATTTATTGAGCCCTGGGGCAGAAGGAGCCTCCAGAAACCTTGAAACTGGAGCGGCACCGGGGTCGGTCTGAACTAGCAAGTCTCTGCTTCTTGGCATCCACACGTGTTTGTGTACGCACACCTAATAAGGACCCTGAATTTTACTTTACAATGTGTGAATACAATATAGCTTAAAGGTCTCGCAGCGAGGCCCATTTAAGTGGCCACGTTGCGTTTAATGTGGGAGCGCTCGCCACGCCCGTGCGGCTCGCCGGCATCTCTCCGGAACCACAGCGAACTTCAGACCTGGCTTCTGGCTCCAGGTCCAGGAAAGAGTGACGGCGTCTCTCTGTGCCCCAGTCCCGCTGCAGCCCCGCTTTGCAGTTTGTCCACAAGGCTTGAAGTTCTGCCAGGAAGAATCACCATCGCCCCACAGAAGGGCTCTCTGCGATGGATGGATGGATGGATGGATGGATGGATGGATGGATGGATGGATGGATGGATGGATGGATGGATGGATGTCCTTTCTTCTGGGCCAGTTCCCTACTGCATAGAGTGGTATCCCGGAGGAGAAAAGAGCCGCCTGTGGGAAGGAGGCAGCCCAGGAGTTTGTTAGTTCCACCTGCTGAAGAGCTGCCCAAAACAGTCTTACTGTTGGTTCCCTTTGCAAAATGCACTTCCTTTCTTCATTCCCTTGTTTCTCCAGAAAGATGACTGTTTACATTCTATTTCTTTCTCTTCTACTTCTTGCAGGCTGCTGAAGAAAGCATGATCCACCCCCCACCCAGAACCCCCCACCCAGAAAATGGCCTTGTTCATCATCTCCAAAGCCAGTGGGAAACCTGGGGCTAGCTGGTTGCTTCTTGTCCAAAGAACGGAAAGGAAACTGGATCCCAGGAATCTCCATGCCTTTCTGGAAAGGCTAACTACCTCCGTTATCACAATGCTGATTACCATTTCCTACTCCCCTCCTCAAAATGACTTCTAGATAGGACAATACCAGGCCACAGACTACACTCTGTTACATTCCAGGAAGCTGCTGATACCTCACAGGGTCCATGGGCAGTGTTGCACCATGGTTAGAGCTCCAGCAAAACCGGGCACCAAAAAAGCCAACAACTTTTTGGAGACAATTTAATAGTTGACATTTAAAAAACCCAAATAAGTCATCATCAAAGGGACAAGTAGAACCTCACCTGGCTTCTTTTCACTTAATTTTACAGTTAAAGAAGGGCTTTTTGTTCTGAACTATGGGAGAAGGCACCTAAACCATTTGGTTACTTAAGATTTCTAAAGCTCTTGTTCCAGGCCACAGGCAGAGCCCGAAGCAGGCCCCTGAGATGTCGAAGAACCATTCCGATTTCACCAGGGGGGAAATGCTGAGAGTCAGCTCTGGGCAAAGCCTGCCTTCCAAAGGGGCAGCAGCCTCGGTTTACTGAACAGCCACCACGGGCTAGAAAAGAGCTTCCTGGGGGCTGCTGTCCTCACAGGGAAGCAGAGAAGGTATGGAAAGAGGAGTCCTCGTGAGCTCCTGACTCAGCTTGGAGTCGGACACCCAGGGACAAGACCCGCAGAGAATAGAATGGGTGTAAAGCTAATAAAACATTCAAAAACAGATTCGCCTAGCAAGTGCCAAAAGCAATGGAGGAGGGAAGGGTGGGGGGAGAGAAGAAAGAATGGTATAAGCGACACATCTTTAACAGACTGACCCCCGAGTCAAAATGATTTAAAGATTTTATTGAAAGAACAGATGGAAGATGAGAGCATTTCTTGATGCAGGATGGGAGTTCTTGGGTCCTCAGATGGTGCACGATATATTAATCTCCTTAGCCTAAGATATAAATAAAATGAAGAATGTATTCAAACTGTTTCCTATTTGCCAGCAACCTTCCTTGGATTGGTAACACTGTTGAGAAAACGGTGGGGAACTGAGACTAAGAAAAACCAAAAGCTACTAAAGTGACCCGATTGCTACTATTTAATGGAACAATCATTATTTTCTTTCTCCAACATATGTGTCTGATAATGAAGCAAAAAGAAAGGAAAATAACTGCCAATGTGCCATTTTAGAAACACATAAACATTTGCTAGATTTTTCATTTTATTGATGTTCTTTTAATATATGCATTTAAGATTAAACTAGTGTTCAAATACTAACAGCACAGAAAGCAATTCTCGATTAGGACTTTATTTTTTAAAAAGTACAAGTTCAACTAGACAAAGAAGAGAGATGAAATTGTTGTCAAACATAAAAATATGAGTTGAATTGCTTCTTTTTAGATGGATCTTTAACATTGACTTGACCATATGGACACTGCAGAAAAAAAAATAAAACAAATTATTGAATTATTTACCAATCACCTTGAAAAAGTACACTTCTCATAATGAAAAAAAGAAACTACTAACAATGTTACATAGATCATTTGATCTACAGGGTCCCCTAGACTAAGAGGAGAATATTGGCAACCTCAGGCAAATGGTCCTAATTAGGGTCCAAGAACCATTTCCTAAATTCATCCTTCCAACTTTAAGAATTTTACTTCAAAACCCCACTCTTAGAAAATCCTCAGGTCCTCAATGTACACAAAGCTCTTATGCATTTGATTAGAATCCACTAAGGGCAGAGGACCATACATAAAAGGGAAGGTTTAATTTTTCAATACTGGCTATAATTAATACGTACATTTAGTGTCTATGCTTTAATTATAAAGTAGGCCAGTTAAAGGAAAAACACCTTCTTGCACTCAAACATACAAAGTGTTCTGTAAACACAGGTTATCTCTTTATTAATCTCAACCCTGTGACAATTTATCTTATTACTATGTCTTTTAAAGGTAACAGTGTAGCACCTATTCCTGTTCATTCTTTGCTCAAATTAGGAAAGGAGTAGTTAGTTCATCTTAATCAGTGAACATAGAGATGTATCCATTGAAATAAACATTTTAGGAACTGCACAACACTAAATTTGGGGAAATCTAGTTTCACAGTTATTTTAAACACAGAGAGAGAGAGAGAGAGAGAGAGAGAGAAGGGGTTAGGGGTGGAAAGGAAGAAGGAAGGGAGGGAAAGGAAAAAAAAAAAAGAAAAAAAGCATTATCATGTGAAGGAAACCCACCTCTCAATCTCTCAGTGCTGGGCCAGTTCCTGTTTATTTAGCTAACAAACATGAAGTGTTTTCTGGGATCTAGCTTGCAACATTCTAGATTTCTTTTCCTGCCCTCTCAGTACTTGCCTAGTGAACACAACTTGGGCGAAACCTCATGAAAAAGTTTCCTTGCAATAAAGAGCTCCCATGAATTTCAAATCACAGCCTTTCAAGGAACCGAAGCTCCGCGGTGAAACCTTACAAAATTCCATCAACTTTAAAGGCCCTGTGTTGGTACTAAGAACTTCATTGTCCTGGGCTAAAAAGTAGCTTGTGAAAAGTGCACTCCAGGTCTCTCTTTGGCTCTTTTATTTGAACTGTTCAAATAACAGGTATTTACGAAGTTACAGAAGCACCGAAAGCTGCTGCCATAATTCCAGAATTGCCACTCACGTGTCTGCAGGCAGAACCACAGCACTCCCCTCTCTGCAAGTGTGCGACTTCTGTGAGCACCACGAAGCCAGTAGCTGGGTCCACGTAGTTTAGCTGGCCAGCCTGGAGCGCAATAAAATAAAACAATTCATTAATCTCAACATTCATCATATCTCCTCCCCATAATGTCTACTCGTAAAATACTGCAAAAAAAAAAATTAAAAAACAATATTAAACTTCTTCCCAGCAATTTTAATGGCACTTACAATTAAAGACTGAATGCATTCCGACATCATACACAATCCAACCTTATGTGACATAAGGAGAAAATATAGTTTGAGGAAAATGAGAAGTTGATGGAAAAACAAGAACCTCTCTATGCCTCTGCTATGTAGCCACTGCTCCAGCATTTTTCATTTGCTTCCTAGGTAACAAGCTTAATAACAGGTGATTTAAATGATTTTAAGAGCTTAAGAGGCTGAAAATGAACTTTCGCTCAGAAGTTGCAGTTGCAATTTCAGTGCTTAAAATATGTGGATAATGATTTAAACTTACAGGAAAGGTGCTAATCAAAACCAACAGTCCTTATAGAAAAGTATTACCTTTGCTAGTATTGAACACTTTTCTTTACCTTCATGATGTGTTACTCAGTCACATGTTTTACAATATTTTCTCTTTTTTTCTTCCCCCAGAGTGTTACTAGTTGTATTTTTAGGCAAAACCAAAGTATTGTTTGAACATATTAACACTCACTGCTTTCACAAGTTTAATCAAAAGCAAATTTTACTATACACTTTTTCAAGTGTCCAGGAAGCATACCCTACATTCAAACCTGATTTTAGAAAGTGCCTCAAGTACTTCGTGTGAAGGTAAAAGTAAACAACAACGTCTTCTGTGGATTTGGGTCCTCTGGGTGTTACTTATTAGCCTTTACATTTTGCAGAGGAACTTTTCCATGGGCTCGGGGTGTGACCCTTTTACCAGGCAGTAACTCAGTGGGTCGCTCTTGCAGGAAGCCTTTTCATTAAAACACACCTGACACTTGCCTGTGTCCTCTGAACCATTTTCCTGTGAACCACGGACAGCTTCTTCAGCGTCTTATTTTATAGCTGAATATTTTATTCTGGTTGAGGCTTTCAAACAAATAAATATGTTTTGTGAATACAGCGTGCAGCAGCGGGACAGATAGGGTCCAAGTCTAGCTTCACTCCAGGGCCTTCCAGGCACTCAGGGGCAAGCAGGGCTGCAGAAACCCGGCCAGGCAAGTCCCCAGGCTGGTGGTCTCAGGACCTCCTAAGTCCTTTGGGACCAAAAAGCAGACAGATCCCATGAAACTGGGATCTCCAAACACTTCCTTTCAATGACCTACTGCCAAGACTTCATTTCATTTCTTTTATTTACAAAGCCTATGTTTGGAAATTTGAAGAAAAACAGACACACACACACACATACACACACGCACGCACACACACACACACACACACACACGGGACTCTGGAGCAGCCTTATTCTCACTTGTCACAGCTTCTGGAGTCTTCTGAGGGCGACGACCTGGAGCCCACGAGGTCGCTCCCGCGCATGCGCATGCGCTCCCGCCCCCGCGCGGACCGAGCTGAGCGCTGCCGAGCGAGCGCGCGGCCGCCGCAGGGACCGCTCCGTCCTGGGCGACGGAGCCTCGCGTCACGGCGACCACAGACACAGACGCGGCAGGGGCGCCGACGGCGTGGCGGGACGGCGCGACGCCCGGGGACGCGCACCAGGACCGGGAGAGGTAGGAGCTGCCCGCCGCGGACCGCGAGGAGGACCCTTGCGGGGCCCTGAGTTGTGGGGAAAGCGAAGCGAGCGCGTCGCGTCGTGGGGCTGTTCACGGTCCCCGGCCCGTCACTCGGCCTGTGACACCTGCACTGACGACACGGGTGTGGGTCCCTCGGCCTGTGACACTAACCCTGACGACACGGGTGTGGGTCACTCGGCCTGTGACACTAACCCTGACGACACGGGTGTGGGTCACTCGGCCTGTGACACTAACCCTGACGACACGGGTGTGGGTCACTCGGCCTGTGACACCTGCACTGACGACACGGGTGTGGGTCACTCGGCCTGTGACGCTGACCCTGACACAGGTCTGGGTCACTCGGCCTCTGACGCTGACCCTGATAACACAGGTGTGGGTCACTCGGCCTGAGACGCTGACCCTGACACAGGTCTGGGTCACTCGGCCTGAGACCCTGACCCTGATAACACAGGTGTGGGTCACTCGGCATATGACACTAACCCTGACAACACAGGTGTGGGTCACTTGCCTGAGACGCTGACCCTGACACAGGTCTGGGTCACTCGGCCTGAGACGCTGACCCTGATAACACAGGTGTGGGTCACTCGGCCTGAGACGCTGACCCTGACAACACAGGTGTGGGTCACTCGGCCTGAGACGCTGACCTGGATGACACAGGTGTGGGTCACTTGGCCTGAGACGCTGACCCTGACACAGGTCTGGGTCACTCAGCCTGAGACGCCCGCGCTGACGACACAGGTGTGGGGTCCCTGGTGAGGACACACTCTTCCTGTCACAGGCTGACTGAACCCCTGGAGTTGGCTCTCAAAGAGTGGAACTTTTCACTCAGGCCACCAGATGTGTGTGGTGACGTGGAGAACAAATCACACGCTATTTTAACAGAAGAGCATAAACAACCGCAGTCAAAGCTGCCTGCTGGCCATCTCCTCGGTGACCTCCGTCTCAGCACAGGGCGACGGCGGGTCCTCAGGGCCCACCCGTGTCAGGGAAGAAAGTCCGCCTCAGGCCACCTTCAGGGTTTCCTTTCTACGCCTTTGGCTGAAGTCACGTCGTAAGTACTGGTCTCACACAGGCGTGCACATACAAGTGTTCCCCTGATCACACCGATAAGCACAACGTGCTTATACACACGTGCACATGCACACACGTGGACATACAAGTGTTCCACTGATCACACAGATAAGCAAACGTGCTTATACACACGTGCACATGCACACACGTGGACATACAAGTGTTCCACCGATCACACAGATAAGCAAACGTGCTTATACACACGTGCACGTGCACACGCGTGGACATACAAGTGTTCCACCGATCACACAGATAAGCACAACGTGCTTATACACACATGCACATGCACACACGTGGACATACAAGTGTTCCACCGATCACACAGATAAGCAAACGTGCTTATACACACGTGCACGTGCACACACGTGGACATACAAGTGTTCCACCGATCACACAGATAAGCACGACGCGTTGTTCCTGCGACTTAGTTCCTTCACCTTCTCCATGAATTCCTTACACCCCCTTCCTCGCGCGCGTGCACACACGTACACGTATACACGCAAGCGCGCACTCGCGTGCACACTCAAGTGCACACGCAGACGTGCACACACGCGCGCGCGCCCACACGGTGCACACACATGCACACGTGCACGCGCACACACGTGCAGGCACACACACATACACACACAAAAGAGCGGCAGGGGGTCCCCCGCGGCGCCAGGGCTGAGCTCGGCCGCTGACTGCTGACAGGAAAACAAGGCACGCTCATACTCGAGACAACTACACGGTAAACTCCGTCCGGGACGCGACACTGCCGCCAGCTTCCCAGCGAAAGCGCCGGAGCGGGCAGCGGCGTCCCCGCGCGTCACAGGCCTGCTGCGTCGCCGCGCTCGCTCAGCCTCCCCTCAGCGGGCGGCCTCCCCTTCCCCCGCCCCCGAGCTGCGGCGCGCAGGCGCACCCGGCGCGGGGTGGGCGGGGCGAGGGGCGGGGCGTCTCACCGCGCAGGCCGCCGCGTGCAGCTCCGCGATGCGCCGCTCCGCCGCCGTTAACTCCTCGCCCGCCGGGCGCGCCGCCGCTCCCTCGGGCCTGCCCTGCTCGCCGGGCGCGGAGCGGCTGCCGTCCCCCTCGGGCGTGCAGCAGAGGGTGAAGCCGCGCTGCTGTGGGAGCCGCGCTCCGGCCCGCGGGGGCCTTAGCGGCGGGACGGCGGGGGGTCGCCTCACGAGCGCGGCGCCGCGCAGCGCCCGGATGTGCCTGGCCGCCATGCCGCGCCGGCGGGTGGGGGCGGGGCGCGGCGCTGGGGCCCGGCGGGCGGCGGGGGCGAGAGGGCGGCCGGGGACGCGGCGACCTTGGGGAGGAGAGAGCGGCCGGAGAGAGCCGGGCCGGGGACGTGGCTGCCCCGTCGCTGGCGGCTCCGCACCTCGGGGACCTGCGGTTCATGAGGGGCCCGCGGCCCCGCCGCCCGGCCCGCCGCGGGGATGAAGGGACTTCTGAGGCGGCGGCGGAGGCTCTGACGAGCCGCCGGGGTGGGGACGAGCGTGCTGTTATCTCCTCCTCTCCGGACCTACATTCTAAGTTATTCTTCATCTTCTTTAGTTTTATTTTTTCCCTGAGACGGAAGCTGGACGTTTTTTGTCACGTCAGGCTAGACTTAGGAGGACTCAGCACAGGCGCCACAACCGTTGGGGTCCCAGGAAGCGACGGGAAGCCCCGGTCTGTCCCCCCGCGTGGGGCGCGTGTGTCCCCGTCGTGCACGGGGGGCCTCGGTGGCCGGTGCTTTGGCCCGTCCCCGAGCGAGGCCGGAAAGTGAAGTCGCGGTCAATCCCGAGTGAGGAAAGGCAGTGCGTCCATGCGGCTGAGTGTCTGCAAAATGCAAGCTGAACTTGCATTTCCCGCCTGGTGGGTGGCAGTTATCCTGGTCACCCCCCCCATAAACCTGAATTGTGAAAAAATTAGAGCAAATTTCAGGTGTTCAGTTAGCACACCACTCCCCACTCCCAGCGTGGGTTTCTAGAAAGGAGGGTTGAGGAGTAGCGATTTTGTCAGTGCTCTGCAGTATTGAAGAGCTGAGGGCAGGAATCGATCTTTTAGAAAAGGCAAATGTGGACTCTGACATTACAACAGGAGAGGCTGGGTGCGGCTGTCTCGCGCCTGTAATACCCGGCACTTTTGAAGGCCTAGGCAGGAGGATCCCTTGAGGCCTGGAGTTCGAGACCAGCCTGGAGAACATTAGCAAGAGCCTGTCTCTTAATTTTTTTAGAAGTTGTACAGGAGAATGATGACTAAACCATCATGCACCATCTGTTGCATGCCTTTTTTTGGTATTTGTGTTTACTGTGCAACCCCATAATCATATTTTCATTTTCTTAAATCTTAGTAGGAGCTGATTTAAACAGCTTTGTTAGTTTATTATAAATGTTAGTAAATTAATGAATTGGAATCGTATTTTGCAGGTCAGTTTCCTCTGTGTTGGAGTAAGAAGTAAGGATCTGGAGACTGCTCAGTCGTGTGAGAAAAGACTTTAAAGCCTAGAAGGCTAAAAGGGGGTCCCTGGGGAAAGCAATGGAAGGGTGGGACCAAACTTAAGGTCACAGAAAATGGACAACTATGATTAGAAAAGAGAATTCAGCACAGGTCAGCCTGCCCCCAACCCCAAATCTCAAACAAAGGAAATAAGTTTGGAGGTTCAGATTTGTTGTACTGTTTTTGAAATGGAGGATCGGGACATACTAATAAGCCATGACATCAAGTCAAAGGATAGGAACAGCATTTTACAGAAATGAAATAGACAAGATTTAAATAGAAAATAAATAGAGCCATCATATCTAGGAAGAGTATTGTTACCAGAAACTTTTGTTTCGGTGGGGATGAGAGGGTGGGAATGACTATAAGGAGGTTGAACAAGGGAGATCTTTGTGGTAATGGAGTAATTCCATATCTTGACATTGTTGGTTACACAAAATTTGCATGTAATTAGGAACCATAGAGCTATACATACCTTGTTTCAATGTCAAATTCCTGGTTTTCACATTATAAGCATGTGAGATGTAAGCACTGGGAGCAGCTCAATAAGGGGTAGATAGAACCTCTCTGTACTATATTTGCAACTCTTTGCGAATTTATAATTATTTCAAAATTTAAAAGCAGTAATTACAAAAAGATACAAAAATGGCTTTCAGATTATTTGGTAAGGCAAATTACTGAATTAACCAGAGCCTTTTCCCCCCTATATCCTCCATTCCCAGGTCTAAAAATCATCTGGGTGAGTCAGGCCTTCAGGCATGTAGGCCGAGAAAGCTCTGTTGTACTTTTCACATGTTACTCAGTGTGTTCATTCTTACACATAGATCTTCAAAATATAATCAAAGTTGGAAATCTGTATAATTAAAAGATGAGAAAGTATCTCAATACTAATAATTTTCAGATACTTGGTAATTTAATTATAATATCATTTAGACATTGAATAGATTATCTGCCCCTTCAGTTTTCATTTGATCTTCATACTTGAGAGTCAGAGTCCTTGCACACCACGTAACTTTCAGTATGTCTCTTGCTCTAAAAAGCCTCCTCAGGGCATTACTGGTAGCTTATTCTAGTGTGTGTTCATTTCTTCTCGGATTCTCTGTATGCACAGTAGATGAAATTGTATGCAAGTAAGGCACTAAGTCCTGCCTTAGAATGGTAAAGTTCTTTATTTACAAAGCGTTTACATCTAGATTTGCTTTAGAAAGAGTTGTCTTGTGCCAGAACTCTATGTGTAACATGATATTGGATATATTTTATAATCCTTCCCATCATCTGGGATCTTTATGTTGATACTGAACATGCTTGTTATGTTGGGGGTGAGGGAGTTCAGAGAGACACTTTCCCCTAGAGTTCATTTACATTAACTTTTATTAGTTTTGTTAGGACTAAAACCTGGTGGGTATGTCGGGGCTCTCTAGGTTGCAAGATATAGATCATACAACTCAATCCAGTTATAAGAAAAGTAATTTGTTTGCTCATATAACCATGAAACATGACTTGATTCAGGGCTCTCTCTTTTTCTTGTCAGGGCAAATTTTCTTCTCAGGCAGGTTCTTTTCTCATTGGTGAAGGATGGCTGCAAATAGCTCCTAGGGTTTCCATATCATTTTTGTCCAGGTAAAATGAGAGACTCTTGTTATGAAGCTCCATGATAAGAGAAGCCCTTTTCCCTCCTGGAATTCCTAACAGTCGTATCTTCATCATGTGTCCGTTTCTGAGCCAGTTGTTAGGAGTATAGGTTATACTTAAGCCAATCAGGGCCCGTCTGCTTATGGGCAGCCGAGTCAAACCTAGGGCTGAAAATGGCTTTCTGTTAATGCTGGGGCACAATTAAACGACCACTACAATGTGACTTTCAAAAGCAAAATAAACTCAGCAAGTCCACTAAATCCTTTTAGTATTTACTATTTTAATGTTTATCTTTTAAAACTTTTTTATTGTTCCTCTGTCCCCTCTAGAAGTCCTTCCTTTGATCTCCCACAATGATTTGTGTCATGTTAGCTTTTTATATCTAGTAAATTTTTGCATTGCTTTCCCAACATATAAAGAAGACAATAGGGAACATTCAATTTCGTACCTCCACAGTCTATCTTGTGCTTTTGTAATAAGTACCATGGTGCATGATGAATCATGACTAATGACTTTTCAAATGGATAAATGGTCATCAGTTCTTCATTCTCAAATACATATTCCTACCTACTGAACAAAAATGAAATTTGAAATTTAAAAATTAACTTTCTGTATATAATGTTGCATATTTGTAAATATGTATTAATTGTTGCAAATAAACACTTTTTAAACACTAACTGAAAGATACTAAATCTGAAATCTTACTATATTTATTAAATAACAGTGGGCTGTTCTACTGACAGACAAGACAGTTGCATACATTATCAAATGATCTGATCTAAACCCTTGAAATGATAACACCTGAATTACAAATGTTTTGAACTGTAAGTGAACAAATGAGTGCTGGAGCCACAGAGCTACCCACAGATTTGTCCACACGCTGCCTGTTTTGCACAGGTGCTTTTGGACACTGATTTACTTATGTATTTGATGTTTTTCAAGTAGCCGAATGGTGTGTTGTGACATGTCATGCTCCATACAGAGTGCATTTTCACTATCAATTCCTATGATTGAGAGCAAATGTTACATGCCCCTCGGGTTGCCTGTAGGGAATCTTTTTCCCATTTAATCGGACATCCAATGGCACACTTAGTTTCACAGAGCTGGTCTTAGAAAATTCTTTTGGGAATTACAACCATGCCTATTTGCAAGCCCAGCAAATGTCCGCTGACTTCACAGTGGATGCCACTGCACCAGAGTCGCACGCCTAGAGCACCGCTGCCTTCGGCCCTCATCTCTCCACTTTGTTTTTGTTGTCTTGGACCAGAGTAGATGGGCTATGTAATACGAGGTCCAGCCATTTCCTCTTTCCATCCACTCTCACAGTCGTTCCTTAATGAACGCTAGTCTGGCTTCTAGGCCCAATGCCAACCTAAAGCTACAGGGATGGCGTGATTGCTAACTCCAGTGCGCTTACACGGTACATACCTAAAACCACACTTGCCATTAAGGTGGTCGGTCATCTGCCCATCAGAGCTATTCTCTTGACTTCTTAGACCCCGAATTCTTAAAATTTGCTTTTTCATGATTATTCTTTCTCTGACTTTTTAAAGGGCACTTCTGCCTCCTCTTCTTCCCTGAATGTTCTTTCCTCAAGAGTACTGCGGCAAGTCTCAGCCCACTGCTGCTCTCACTGTATAATACTGCCCTAAGTGATTGTATCCATGCTAATGTTTTTTTATCTGTTACAATATACTGATGACTCCCATATCTCTTCACCAGGGTCAAAGCTTGTGAGAGCAGCATACCTGTCTAGCCATCTGCCTGCTGGACACAGACATTTAAAAATACTCCCAACTTGGCCAGGTACAGTGGCTCACGCCTGTAATCCTAGCACTCTGAGAGGCTGAGGCAGGAGGATTGATTGAGGTCAGGAGTTCAAGACCAGCCTCAGCAAGGGCAAGACCCCGTCTCTACTAAAAATAGAAAAAATTAGCCAGATAACTAAAAACAGAAACAAAAAATTAGCCAGGTGTGGTGGCACATGCCTATAGTCCCAGCTACTCAGGAGGCTGAGGCAGGAGGATCGCTTGAGCCCAGGAGTTTGAGGTTGCTATGAGCTAGGCTGACGCTACAGCACTCTAGCCTGGGCAACAGAGTGAGGCTCTGT